TATTAAAAGAGAATAGTATTGTTAAGATAATTTTTAGCATCCAGAAATATTAAATGATCAAATTTTTTTAAACTGTAGTGTAGTCAAGTTATTCAACATGAAAAAATGCCCTATCTCATTCATAACTGAAAAAACGTAAATCAAAATAACAAAGAGATGGCATTCTGTATGTAGAATCCTGGAGAAAATATCCATAGGCTCAGGGTGATGGGTAACAGGCATTCTCATACACTGCCAGTAAGGCTGGAAACTGGTACAACATTTTTGAAGGGCAGTTTGTATTAAAAAAAAAAATTATTCTAACAAGTGTTAAAACAGTAAGGAAGACTTTATCCAAGACTACTGCAATAGGGCCATCACAGTAGAGGAGAGAGATTTGGTCCAAATCTACATACAAAAAGGACAAGTTTTGAATTATAACAAAGGAGCAAGGTGAAGGGTTCAGGGGATGGAGAATTGCTAAGAGGAAATATCAAGGGTAGGGAAATTCTTGTTAAACTGACAACAGGATTCTTGCTAAAGGCAGGCCAAGGACTTATACATCAAAGGTGGGGAATGAGGAATTTCATCAGATAAAAAGAATAATCAGAATGTCCAGCGTGAGAGATTCTCTCTAAACTGACAGGATCGTGTTTCCTAGGACAGGGCTGGGTAGGCCAAAGACAGGATGGGGGCCAAATTTAGTCAAGGAGAACTTCTGTTATCAGTAATGTTTATGACAAAGATGCACATACCCTTTAATAGTCAAATTCCAATACTTAGAACTTATCCCACAAATATATAAATTATGCCAAGATATATAAGGATTACCCCAAACCATCTTTAATAATAGCATCTAAAAGTCCACCAATGGGGGACTAGCTAAATAAAGTACCTACTTAAAATGAAATAATATGCAGCTGAAAAAAGAATAAGGCCTATCCATATGTGCTGACACAGAAAGACATGCAAAATATTTTAAGCCAAAATGGAAGGTGCAGAACAATGTTACAGTATAATCCCATTAACGAATGGGGAGATAGATGCTGCAATATGTACAAAATTTTTCTGGAAAGATACACAAGGAACTATATATATAGTGGTCAACTTTGGAGAGAGGCATTAGGAAACAGTAACAAAAGGGAAGTTTTTATTTTTTATCTCACACCTTTCTCTACAAGTTTGTTTAATAGGAAACTAGTCCACTATTACTGAAAGTGAAACCTCTTCCTATATTATTTCAATTTCTTATGCTGCGCATAAACTATGAATACATATATAGCAAAATAAATAAACCGTAGGACAGGGAAGGGGGATATTTCCTGA